GGGAGTAGCAAATTGTGGAAGGGGAGATTGTTGTTAAGAAAATATCTAGGCTATTAATCTTGGGTTCGATCTATCTTGGGTCCATTAAACAATTGTCATCTTTTAGGTGGCTACCAAAATATATTGGGTAGCCTACAATATTATGGTAGCCTGTGTTAACTTAATTGGTTATCTTTTGACTTAACACTTTGATAAATTGTGTTGGTATATGCAAGGTTCCATGATAACTAAAATTTTATTAACTGTGTTCTATGCATAAAGAACCGTCATAGTTCAATAAAAGTTTAATCTGTAACTATTTCGGAATATTTTAATATGTTTCTGAAAACATGATTGTTAAAAGTATTTTAAAAGTAAAGTAAGTTAAAGTAGTTTTTAAGTATTGTTAAAAGTATTTAGTTAAACCCTCAAAATTAAGTTTAAATTTGCGCTTCCTTTCAGTTGTTTCAATAAAACAAAAACGTAGGTAACATTCTTATGTAAACCACAATTTGAATCAATAATTTTTCCCATGATTTGTTGTTTAAAATTAAGGTTTAAGAGACAAAGAAACTCTGGAGTCATAATATCTAGAGGCGATTCTGTGTCTCAAGGACAAAACACCATCTGTAGCAACTATCTTGGCTTGTATCCAGCAGCTCTGTAAACAATGCTCTCAACATCATAAAACATGCAACATACAGCATCCAGATGACTGGACCTTTGGTCAGAATATAAAACAATCTCTGCTGATTCCATACATGGCTGAAACTGTGTAATCTATGTTTTATACTGGAGCATTCTGCTAGATAACCACAGTTATGTATAAACTATTTATATATATATATCTTTTGTAGATTGTATTCTAGATTGTATTCTTTCTACCTTGTAGAATCTTTGCTGATGTAGTGAAGTGAATCCCCCTCACCTTACCTGACAATTCTTTTTTATCAGAGCTTGTAATGAGTTAAGTTTATCATTTGATTCATCCTCAATAGAAATAGCAATTGGTTTTACATATTTTTAAGGCGCTCTAGCCCAGGATTGTTTCCCACTCATCATTAAAAACTATTATAAGGTGGAAGTGCTAAAAAAACACAATTAATAGATAACAACCAAAGAAAAATACAAGTACTTCAGCGACCAATTTATGTTAACTCTTATAAACTGTCAGCAGTTAATGTGAAGAATTTAATTGTTACTACAGTATTATGAGAAACATACTAAGTATACAGGAAATTAATGTTGTGATATTCTTTACCCTGGACATAACTCAAATTATAAAAAAAAATTATAGCCTACAAACAAACCTTTTCTCATTAAATGAACCACTCTATTATAGTATTTTCAGACTTTAAAAATACAGCTCTGTTGACCATAAATCAGCAAAATCATTACCTACATATATTACCATAATATTACTTACTTACCTCATTAAAGTACTGTAGTCTGAAAAGATCCATTTTGAAATATATAAGTAGAGTTTAACCTCATCTGGTTGCTGATCAGGGAAACTGCAACAACAACCGGTTTATCTCACTGTCTCACACTCTCAACTCACTACTCAGCTGATTCAAGATCAGTGGTTCAGTGGTTCAGTGGCAGGTGGGAGGGATAAAGATTGCAATAGGAAGGGGGAGTGGAGGGGATAGGAGAATTCCTGAAGTGGTTTTTGTTGAAGTACAATCTATTATTTTGCTGATCCCTAGGCCCTGACACACTCAGGTGGTATAGGCTCCAATGGGCTTATTCTGTTAGTGTCAGCAACAAATGTTAATCCATGGACAGCAATATTAAAATACCAGTACTCATAATGTGTTAATGATTTATTTTTGGAGCTTAGGTTTTAAAGTGTTAAGAGTCTTCCTTAGTGGTAGCCATGTTGGATTTCTTCCCCATAAGAACAATGTTAAGCATTACATCATTTGTGGACACGTAACGGGAGTTATTTGTTAAGATATAGCTTTGAAATTTATAATTTGTATTTTTAACATAATAGACTCGTGACTGAGGTTTTTTAATTTCGAAAATCCATTTTCATTTCCTTTCAATAATTAGCTTAATTTTAAGCTAATTAATAATCAATTATTCATTATAAAAATTAAAAATTGTGAAATAAAAAACGTCAATCTCTAGAGGACCGCAATTCCTTAAATTTAACTCCTTATCCATAATTATATGACAATTTGCTGATGAGATATTTGGACCCAAAGTTAACATTGTTCTTATGGGGAAGAAGTCCAACATGGCTTCCACTAAGGAAGACTCTTAACATACCCACAGAGAAAGGAGGATCTCCATGGTAAACTTAAGCACTATAGCTCAAGAGGCTGGCTTTTTAGGAAGATAGCAGGCTTACCCGAATGGGAAAGAGTCCAAACAAGAGACACAACACTTTACACTAAATACACAAAACATTAGAATATTTATGTTTTCATTAAGTTTTCTTTTTCTTTTACTTATCCATACCATTCTTACAAGACCATATCATTGGGTACAACAAAATCTGAGTCAAACCTTACCAAAAAGAAAAGATTCCTCTAAAATCAGTCTTAAAGTTAAGCATACAGTAGACTAATATTTTTTAAAGAATATCTGTATAGTCAATCTACATTATTTATTTCAATCCTTCCTCTATTTTATTTTTATTTTTAAGGCAAATAAAAACTGAAAATAAAAACTTATTTAAACACTAATTGGTTTTACTGTAAAACCAGGAAAACTGCAACGATTATAACTATTCTGTTAGATATTTTTGAACACCTGTTCAATTCAGCAAATTAAAGGACTTTTATTTAGTAAAAAATTTAACTTTTATTGCTTTATTGATTTAAAATAGGGGTTTTTGCTTTTTATTATAAACAATGCATTTAAATAATGTATTATCAAAATACATCCTGTGGCATAATATATCTGCATGTATATATATGTATAAAGCAGATACATAAACCTACTGCGGTAGCAGACCTGCAGACAATTGAACTTCCAATTTCCTGGATTTTCAATCAAATATTTCCTTAAAATTGTCAGATTTATTTCCTATTAAGATTAGTTTAACAAGTACTATGGTTTTTAGCTAGAAGGGAGGTAGTAAAGATTTTTTATAGTAGTGTTAATGTCTTAGTGTGAATTAAAGATATTTGCCAAATTGTCTCAAAATCTATCCATAAACAAACTAGCAAACAACAATAGTTACATGATAGATCATTTTGTCTCCATAAGAATAACATAGGAATATTAAATGTACAGTTTTTTTTTTTAATTTTCTCTAAAACCATTAGACAACATTTTCAATAAACTTAATCATTTTGTAAGCTCTACAAAATAATGAAATTTGATGAAGAATGAAATTGCAAACTTTTATGTTTTGGGGTTAAAAATAGGGAAACCCAATTTTGCACCATAAAAACCCATTCCCACAGTCTGATCTTGCTGGTTTGCATAGATAGATGGATGGCTTCACGTTTGAATTGAATTTCATAAAAATCAAGTTATCTTGCTAATACACACAAACTTATTCCCTATGGGAAATTCGCTAAAAAACTACAATAAATAAACAGTAGACCAATCAGAGGCCAATTTCTCCAGTGCATGAATATTGCACGGGTGTAGAAAAAAGAGGAAATAGCTGACTGCTAGGTAAACTCATCGGTCTTCCAGAACGACTTGTTTTCTGCACTGATGCACCGGTTAGTGTTCCCAGAACGTGCTCAATAACATACCTTAAATAAAACTTCAGCAGCTGATACATCAGGATGATTAATCTATATCTAAAAAGTGGACAAAGGGGTACTGCATGTTTCAACTATATTTAAAGGATATTTTGTAAAAACACATTTATTAGGGTATTAAGGGCTGTTTGTGTATATAGCTTCTTGTCCAATTTGTTTATGTACACCGCAACAAGGCTCCGTGCCGCTTACTGGCATCATTTGTGAACATAATGGTGCCATTTGCAACTATGTAGCTTATGTATACACTTTGCTGTGTGTATAGGTTTTTAAAATAATTGAATCTCCTGCTGCATGGGATATAAGGTCAGTGGTCAGTAATATGTTTTTTGACTGCAAGAAACATATCGCCTGCAGACAACCATTGCCAGGAAGACTAATCCTAATGCAATGATGGAGCGTAAAGTGCAAAAATGGGTTAGAGAGTGTAAAAACGGCTATGAAAATGTCCATTTTTGGAATGTGTTTTTAGTGGGTACCCAGACTTCTCTCGGAAGTCCACAAAGGAAAAATGTTTTCATTGCCATCCTGTTTGCGGCGTTGGATTGGATAATAAAAAAAAAAACTTCTAGACACACAGCAAAGAGTACACTTTGGCTACAGAGCTGCAAATGGCACCATTCTGTTCACCAATGATGCAAGTAAGCCACAATGTTGCTGTGTACACACAAACCATGGAGCTAAAAGCAAAAACTACCCTTAATTAAAAATACACCTTGTACTAAATGGATTGAATGTAAATTTGTAATAGAACTTGCTCATGGATTGCTAACCAAGAAATGTTTTATGAAAGAAGTCAGCGCTTTGAGCATTTAAAGTATCTACAAAGGTTGTTTACAACTTAAGGTTTCCAAAGACGCGACCAAGTAAGCTAGTTTAAATCTGACACTACTTCTCCCTCAACTATCATTGCTAGTCCCCACCCCTCACCTCCCCCCCCCCATACAACGATTTATCTTATTGTAGTAGACCATACCTATGTGAAATAAAATGGGTGCCAAGTATGAATTAAGTCATACGAGTTCAATATTGAAAACAGTCTTTGATCTTTCTATTGCAAATGATAAATGTTACACTGTATAATGTTACTGACTTCCTAGTTAAAAAATATTACCACTCGCAACTATTATCTCTTATTTTGAATTCAAGAATTTAAAAACACATTTTGCCTTTTTGTTATAAGGGTGAAGAGGACTTTTAATTTAGCTAAAAAAAACCTTGGACTAAAGCTGGATGCCTTTAGTGGATTAGTGGTTTATGTGTCACAGGGTTAAAGTTTTATACACACAATATTTATTATATTTTATTCAACTGATTATAAAATATTCATTTACAATAACTTGTGAGCAAATATGTATTCTTTACAAGGTAAAAACACTGTACAAGTTTCCTAGCTCCTAGGTCTGTCTCATTTTGTGAAATACTAAATAATAATAAAGACATATATATATATATCATGGAAATTATTATCTAGATGATTGCATGAGCAAAATGTGAAATAACCAGCAACAATTAGATTTCCTATGTGGAAATATTCATAATAAATTTTTTGAAAAACCTTATGAATTAATAATTTTATTTTATAATCAAAGAGATATGTTTGTCCCTTTTTGAAAAAAAATTGTCTTGCTAAGACATATATCGAAGATAACGTAATTTTCCATAGGTACATCCATTTTTCATTATTTTAGCCTTGTACAATCAACATTATTAGGATTATATTACACATTATGTTTAACTTGTACACCTGAACAAATTTTCATTGAAAAAATATATTTACAATGTTCTTACAAAACATTTATTGGAGGTAAATATAAGTATCTAGTTTGAGTTCTAAATGCTTTAACAGCTTATTAATAATGCAAATACTTGAGTCGTTGTTGTTGTTGTTGTTGTTGTTGAGTAGTTGGTCTAGGAAAATAATTATTAGGTCTTTAAAAAAATGATTTAGGTAGGACAATGTTATTTTTAACACATTTATAAATTTTTCAAGAAATTGTCATAAATGGGTATTAACTAAACAGCCATTGGTAAGTCATTACTGATTAAGTCATATTCATTTTTATTTTCTTTGTGATAACTATTTGAAATATTTTATGATTACCGGTACCATAAGTACTATAACATTAAAAAAATAGTAAAAATAAGTACATTGGCCAACAAATATAACCAATTGTATTTTATTTTGATAAAAGGGTCGCTAAAAACAAATTAATGCTCATGTAGAGTCAAGGATAAAAAATGTAATACATAGTCTTGATAAATTAAATAGCATGAAATTGAATAACAACCATAGCAAAACCAAAGTCATTTACAACAATAAAAAATAAGTAGGTACTAAGACCTATTGTTATAAAATTGACAATTCTTACTCATGTAATCAGCTAAAAAAAAATATTTACATAAAATTTAAAGACTGTTTGATTAATAAAAATTAATTACACAGCTTCATTGTCATTGATGATTCCACCTTTATCACAAGTCTTTTCTTCATAAAATTTTTAAATGACAAAAGTTCATAAAAAAGAACCTAACTGTCATACGCAGCTGTTGGTGTTAGGAACACCGGTGTTGCAATGGAATGTTGAAAGTCTGATAAAGCTAAGTCAGTTACATAATATATTGTACATCTTCTCCGATCTCAGTCTCTTGCTCGTCTTGGATAGTCTCGAGGACTTTATATACATTCTCAGGGAGATGATCTAACAGCATCCGAGGCATGACTCTCATCTCGTCAAAGAAGTCGGGACTGACCCATCTCATCTCATATGTCTTGTCTTCCGGCCTCTTCCTGCAAACCAACCAACAGCAACTTAGATTTTTGTGTAATAGGTAGGACACTTTTGCTGGAACATTTACATAACATACTTTCGACTAAAGAAGTAGTCCTTGCTAAACATGGTAGTTGTATGACGGTGTTACGTACTTATTGAATTAAATAATTATAACACATAATTGTAAGAAGTAAAAATAATGTCTTGTTTTTATTCATTTCTCAAACTTAGAATTGTAAATATTACATCAGCTGTAAATAGAAATAAAAATAATTAATGAGTCCAGACTAACAGATATGATAATATATAACAGACGGCAAAGTGTCGCATAGCAAGACTGCGTAAAGTGAGGACCAATTGAAGAAATTAAATCAAACATTTTTTATTTTTGTTATTTAACCACTAGCCAATTTTTTCCAGAAAAATATATGTAGAACAAAAATATAGCACAAGAAAGAGATACCGGTAATTTATTCTTTAAAGAATTAAATTTTATTAAAAAAAATAAAGGAAATATGAAAATGCATTTAAGGACACACACTTGGGCAATCACGCAAGACAAAGAAGCTCTAGGATGAGTCAGCCAATACCATTTATTCAAGGTACGGTAATATTTTTCTTCTTTTCTGAGTAATTTGAGCCCATATATAAGTGGATATGTGCGCCTCTGCCACAGCCCGGACTCTTTAACGGCTTTTTAATTTCATCACATACTTATTTAATAGGTTAAAAATTACAGCTATTGTCAACAGCAACTACATTGTTTGTATTGTTGTCACTACTCTACATTACAAACATTACGAGAAATAAAATATGTTGTTTTGTATAGTTCGGCCGCTTAGAAAACGACCTGCGCGCTAATGCTAAACCAATGCTGGAGGAGGTCGCTTTCTAAGCGGCCGAACTATAGTGGTGTAGTCAGTTGTTTAAGTCCAAGACATAGTATGTAAAGCTTTATTTTCAGACTTATGAGGGGATTTTACTATTTAGCCAACAAAAAGTTTTTCCAAAGTTTTAGACTTTAAGGAAAAATAAATCATCAATCATTTTACCCTCTGGATGGTTTTTTTATATAATTGCTATTGTAAGGGTTTATACATTAGCAATCCTAATATTGTTGATCCGATATTAATTTTGAACCCGAAGGTTCTTCTTCAGACGTAGTCTAGGTCAACCAAACTTCTATATTAGTATTCATCCGATGGGTTTCATAGAAAATATAATAACATTTATCACAATACAATTCACAGATGACACAAAAATGGTAGAAAAATTAGAGATAAAAACCATGGTTTTTGAAATGTGGGGTAACCTCACATTAGTTTGGGAACACGTTGCCCATCAGGTGGATACTACTATAAAAGTTTGGTTGACCTAGACTCCGACTTAAGATGAACCTTCGGGTTCAAAATTAATATCAGATCAACAATATTAGGATTGCTAAGGTAAGCCCTTACAATAGCAAAGAAAAATGAAGATAAAAATATAAAGGTGTACCAGAATTTTAAGGAATCATGTACATCATGATGGGAGTACAAATTATAGCACACATTCATAAAAAAAAAAAAAAAAAAAAAAACTACCTATAATATTCTTCAGAGACAAATCCAACTAAAAATTTGGAATGGTAATTTATAGTAAACACAATGGAAAGAACAACAATGAGATGAATGAAAACAGAAAACAAAATGCCTAGTTTACAGATGCAAATAAAGGACTAAACACAAGGATAACTTGAAATTTGAAATATACAGTACTGACAACACAAGTTAGATAGGGTATATTTTTATGACAATCAAACGAGTAACAATGGTTAACAGTAATGGCTGGACGATGTTCTGTGGTAATTGAGGAGAAATGAAAACAAGAAATAAAATGACCAATACAACTAAACTAGAATAGTTTACAAAAACATACATTTATGATGATGGACACACAGATGGGGGACACTTATAGTGACTGTTATAGGGACTACACATAATGGATGAAATAACGATGAATGATGCCGAAGAAAATAATGGTGAATGATGACAGTTGAAACAACCACATTCACAGTCAACTTACTTTTTACAACAGCAGAAAAGGCATCTACAGCATATCCATCTAGACAGACTAGACCTAAAATAAATAGTGTTCCACTAGTATGGTACAATAAAAAAAAATATATTGATTTTGTAAGCTATGAGGGAACAGGACATTTTCTTTAATTTTATCAATACATGCCCCATATATCAGTACAGAGTTCACCATAACTTTAATTGATCATTGTGTGTGTTTAAGGAATGAAAGACTTTTCGAATTGTTACTTAGCAAACAATATGTTAGAAAGCAACAGTCATAACTTATGTTTAAGTTTTATTATTACAAATATTATGTACAGTAATAACACTGTCCAAATTCCAGATTTGGTTTTGCTGACAAAAAAGTAATAAGCTAGGTAATTATAATAAGTAGGTGATACAATATTTTAGTATATTATTTTAAAACATGCCACATTATGTTGATATAAGAGTTGGTTACTTTTGAAAGGAAATTAGAGGAAATGCTTAATGTGACATGTAGTCTAGTGACATCAGGTGATGTGTTCTGTTTCACCATTGTTCTATGATTTTTTTATGTCCCGGATAGATTCAAAATATTTCATTTATAATATTTACACGTTCAAGACAAAAACTAAGAGCAAAAAAAAATAAATAAACCAAATGATTCTAAAAGTGATCCCTGACCACTGAGCACCATGAGAGAAGGAAGGTTTAGAAACAAACACTTTACAAGGTTTAATTTATGTTTACCTAAAATCTTTTAAGGTAAACCTAAGTTAAGCACAGTAGGCCTATGTTAATAAGTAGAGCTAAATCACTTTATTAAATTGTAATCTATAGACTATAGGTAGAGTTATAGCATGATAAAAATACTTGACAAAACTTAAGTTAAATGTATCCAATAAGCTATCCATACTTCTCCTCTTTATTCTTCTTCCTGTGGACTATGTGCAGTATGTTTCCAGCTGGGTAAAGAGAAACATTGGAACATTTTCTGTTGGCTACTTCCTGCAAATAAAAGTGGGTGTGATTACCGAACAGGGGTGTTATTTTGATCTTGAAGTGAATAAATACTAATACTCTGAACTGTTTTCATTTCAGCAATGAAAAATATTATAATGTTTACAAACTGGTGCACTTGCAACAGACTCTACTGTTAGGAAAATGCTATGTCAGTGGCAGGAATAATAGAGAAACATAAAAATGATAAAAAATGGATACACACGGTTCCTCTTCCTATTATTACTGTGTACAACCAGACCCCAGAGTAGATATTGAACTTACAATGAAAATACTCACTATGAGCTATTTAAAAATTTAAAATATAAAACATTTAAACCAGCCAGCTCTAAAATTGTTGTAAATTCTCTCGAAATAAAATTTTCATAACAAACATCATAACTTTCCAAATTACACAGTAGAGTGTCGAATATCTGAAACCCGGTTTTCCGAAAAGTCGGTTAACTGAAAGGCCAATCACTGGTGTTGCTGCGGTCACGGGAAACAATGAACGGTGATGTGGAAACTGCAATATATGCCCATGGATGTAGGCGCAATAGAGCAAGATGAATACAGGTGCCGCCGAGACTGCAAGATATAACCTACTCAGAAAATTTGCTAGTCATAGGGGACAATCAAAAACAGGAAATATGTATATAAAATGTATTCAAATGTTATCAATGACAATTAAATTAAATGATCCTTTTTTTACTGTAAATTACCAACTATTCGTACCGTAAATCAGTTATCCATACTCCCCCAATCCCCAATTGTTTAGGATAATCGACTCTCTTCTGTATTGTTTAGTAAAAAATAATAATAATAAGAAGAAGCCATTTACTTGTATCAATAATAATTGTTAACTTTAATCTTATTAGCTTGACCTTAGATTATCTAATTAAAATGTCCTATACACAGGTTCAAGTCTGTGCACAAGCATGTTAAGTTAAGACTGAAAGAGGTCAAAGACCGCCTTTTGTTCTGCATCAAGGCATTCCTCATGTAAATAAAATAAGGCACATGCCATCATACACCACTGCAGCACAACCAAAGATTTAAAAAAGTAATTAACTTTCAAGATTGGTTTAGTAAACAAAATTAAAATAAACATTTGTTATGATCTCAACAAACCCGATTTTCTAGTCAAACCAAAACATAAAACTAAATACTTTGTACAAAAATAGTCTTACAGTAATCACACAGTCAAAATAAAGCAAACACGTTAAAATCTTACACCTACTCTTGCAGTTAAATGGTGATCTGGAGAGCCAGTTATCTGTAGAAAAAAAGCAAAGGAGTTTTTATTTCTAAGCAGCTATACCAGCTTTTGAAAAAAAATTGACTTCTTTACTTGTAACATTGTCTTTTTACTATCAAAATCAACAAAAGGGGTAGTGAAATTCATACTAACAGCACGTTATGATCAGTCAACAATTATGAATACTCATTTCAGTCATTTGTAGAAAATAGAAATTTAACATCAAATAAACTATCAAACAAATATATATTCTGTTTTAGATGGTAATAGAAGCTTGGATGTTCATAATTTCTGTACAATTCATTAATTTATTTCAAGACCAAATTGTAATGATTTATTCTGCTTGAGGTTACAGAATCAGACATGGTATTCATTATTCAATGACATGTTTCTCAGTACCAAATTGATGTGAGTCTATTTCTCAGCAGCTTCTTCATTTAACCTTATACTTATGATGTTTAAAGAACACTGTAATAGTATTGGGCTTACCGCAAACATGTAAGGTATAGCGTTAGGTGCCGGCAGCAGCACCGAGTGGTGAGGAACCGGACGGTTGTCTCGCCACGTCGTGTTCAAATGCCTGGACGGAACTCCAAACAGGGCGTAGCCAAACCCGTTCACGATCACACGGTACTTGGCAGGGAATAACAACATTTCAATTACAAGGAAAAGATTAAATTAAATGTAAACTAAGTGTAAATATGAATAAAACTGAAATAGGGTATCTATTGATTATCTGACATAAAGTTGTAGCTAGATCAGATATGCAGAAAGCTTGGAAATACGGAGAACAATGAAAACAATAATTATTGTAATAAACGGCATCAGAAAAATTGACAGATACTTTCTCCCATTAGCTTGTCTAATCATGGGGAAGCAGTGGGAGTAAACTATGATATTTTATCAGTAAAATCACAACAACTTTTGAAACATGGTTTTTACAGCAATGTAAAAACAAGTAAAGCAAGTTGTACAAGTAGTATTTTGTTTACAGTTAAAAGGACTCTATAAAAAAATGAAAAAGAAATGCCCGGAGATACCATGGAATAGGACCCACGTAGCAAATTTAATCAAAATCAGACCACAGGTGTAGTCAGTAGCCCTGTACACACATATCAGACTCAAAAAAGATATTTTCACCCAAAACTCAAACTAAAAAAAATACGAAAACTATACTATCACTATCTCCAAATACTATGTATAGGACGTGAAAGAAAACTGTTAGGCATATTTTATATTGAAACATACAGGGTTTTTTAATTTGATGATTCTGAACCAATCGCATGTGATGGATTTTCACGATTCTTCTGTTGAAAGAAATATACAATTTTGAGAGTTAAAGATAATTTAATATTTAAACTAACAGCTGAAAACATTCAATTACAAAAAAAAAAACAAATTCAGCATTTGGGTAAAAATCATTTAAAGTTAATTTATATTTATTTATATTTATAACGATGTGTATTGCCATAATCCATGGTCGGTCTGTTTGTCCAGGAAGAGGATGACTAATAATTTATATTTGAAGACTGACGTTTAATAAAAGAATAGCTAATATGATTGAATTTTTTTAAAGTCTAGCAACCGACTTTAAAATTGTGCAATATTATTTGGAAAACGCAAGTTTTAATGTAATATATTGCTATTGTTTAACACGTCTCTGCGGCACGTCAAATAGCGGGCGTATCCCCAGTGCAGCGCAGCCCTCAGCGTCAAACAAACCCGATTGCCTTTCCAATTTTGGTCTGAGGAATGTCAAATAACGTGCGGGGATGTCCTGCTTTACAACGAGAGTCGACATAGTTCGCTAAACACCCACAGATAGCAGCACTGCTTGGAACGTAGCCGTCCCATTGGAATTGTATTGCCAAATGGAGGGAAAAAGACGGGAAATAAAGAAGACTTTTGAGATTGCCAGACGGGGATTTTACGGGGAAATTTACTACCAACCTACACCACAACAAAATTCAAGTCACATACTACACGCTAACGTGGTATAGGTCCGCTTTCGGCCGACGCTAGAGCAAAAACTAAGATATACAAAAGGCATTGCCGAGCGTACGGACGCACCGCAAGGGGGCCAAGCGCCGTACCCGATCGGGAACGGCCGCACTCTACGTGTTAACTAAGAGTTAGAGGTTATTAATTTTACTCTAAAATTGTGCCTTTGATGATCGGAAATGAATGAGAACCTAACACCATTACTGTATCAACCTAGGGTCTTTCCTTGATTTTTAAAAGTTAAGGTTATGAGAATCATTATTTTGATAGATTGTCATGGAAACAGTGGGGAAATAACATTGTTTACATATCTATATATTTTAATTCTGTAAGCGATTCGGTCCCCACGAAATATCTCAAACCAGGAAAAAGGTAGCATGGCTGTTGATTCATTTTAAAGCTTAAGATCCAAGGACGGTGGGAAAAATATCAGAAGTGTCAAAAATTACCCATTCTTTGCCCCACAGGCCATCAAAATCAAAGATCCACTCATGTTCTAATGGAAGTATACTACAGTGTGAGTGTTTCTAAAGGCTGTTTTAAATATACCAGCTGATGTAAACTAAACATTGCATATATAAACATATTTGTTTGTTTATTGATTTTAGTGTTCTGTTTTTAGATTAGAATGGTAATGAAGTGTTGAAATGTATTGTGTTAGGGGTAGACCGCGACTAGGAAGGAGAGTACAGTATTTAGGATTGGTGTACATCATAAACAGAGGTGAAGGGCAGCAATTGCTGCTATGGGCCCCTAGTTTTAAACTATTTTGGTAGCATTTTGTAAATAGTTTTGATAGGCCTTAAACAATAATATATATAAATGATTTTAAAACAGTAGTATATTTCATCACTAAGAGCGCAAGTGGCTCTTTTTAGTACCGTACGCAACTGTGCTTTACAAGCAAGGCGCAGCCGTGTTTGGAAATACCATTATGTACCAAAATGGCACTTTCACTCCATGTAATAAACAATTATTTTCATCATACTGTGGAAATAACCTTGTAATCATTACAAAATCAGACCACATAATTTGTGGCTGTACAAAGTAATCATCAATGTTTACATTTCTGTTATTTACAAACATAACTTAAAATTTATAATGTGCCATAAACATATTTTGAGGTTAACAAACCAAAAAAGTTAGCATGGGTTTTTTCTATTCCCTATTTGAAGTTACCTGAAAACGATGATTTAGAGAACTAAAAACCGCTGTTTTTCGGACAGTATGATGAAAAGAGATTTATGTACATGTTAACAAATTTCTGGGAACTTATGTAATAAACCTTGCTTTCCTATACAGGGTGTTTGAAAAGTCTGGTTACGGCTTAATATTTTACAAACCATAGCAGAAAACATCAATAATCTTTGCGTTTGCACAGTGTCATATGGCTGCCATTTCTGACTAGATAAAAAATAACCCAAATAATTTATTCTAAAATGAAGTGGTAAGTTAACTAATCTCACCAACAAAAACAATGGTAGAAGTTTTAGTAGAGTGAAACGCCGCCTACTGCATCTGAATACGACGATCCAGTCAGAAATGGCAGGGCATAATGTACTTCACAATGTGTACCTAAAACAACCCACCATTTCTGTTTGGATACATCTTTGAGATGGGGATTGCGGCATTCAAGTCTACTACCTGAGCTCTTTGAAATGAGGTATAACTCGACCCGTGCTTACATTTAAGATTTCTATGACTTCCTCTGTGGGCCGTCCCCCATGGTTGTCATGTCATGCTTATACCAAGGAAAATAGTTTACATTGCCATATGACATTGTGCAAAGTTTATAGATGTTTTCTGCTATGGTTTGTAAAATACTAAGCCGTACTCAGACTTTTCAAACACCCTGTATAATTTTCCTATCATTATTTTAATTTACTATCACAAATATTAAAGCTTTACCAGAAGTAACTACAGGAGAATTTTGAACGATTTGATACATCGATAAAACCATTATTTCAGTCTAAAAGTGCATAACAACTTGAGGTTACTTTGCTTACTTTTGGAAGCCTTGAATTTTGCAAGACTTCAAAAAGTTGTGTTCTCAAAGTTTCAATCTTGTCCACACTTGCTCGCATAGCAAAGTCATCTCCTACTCCCAGAGTGAAGACAAAACTCTCACAGTAAACTGCAGCTGGTTTCGTCAGGACACCTGGACAATACATTCACTTTTTAACTCAAGCATAGAAGCATCAACACATTATTTATTTTATTCTATTTAAGTTGAATAAAAACTCAAATTTTGGAAATTACAACTAATTTTGTTTGTCCATAGTGTGAGGGTTGCCTGTTGAGCTCCTGTTGCGACTGAGCAAGCTAGCTCAAATTTGATACCCCAACGCTATTCTTTACTTCATTCATTACTATTCTAGCTGATTTCTACTCCTATGCAACGATTTGCCTCGTCATAGCTGCCAAATCTGATGTGAAAGAAATTCAACCCTCCCACCAAGGGCGCCGCGTGTTAATCTTGTTCTGTGACCAGGTTTCTTTATAATGGGTGTCAGCCCCCTGTTAAATAATTGCCAGTGGATATGTGTGTGTGCAGAAAAGTGTTTCAATTTTTAAGAAATGTGGATAAGTAGCTTAGGGGGTTCACAGAAGGCACATGCACATTTGCAAACCGAGGTCCTTAGTTTCCGTCTAGACAGTGATTACAGTTGAGGAGATGTTCCTTATCAGTTTGACAATCTCTCATTAAGTCACTGTGGTCCACAAGCAAATTTCTCTTACTTTGGACACTTCCTCAAATAAGATAGAATGACGGTTCCCAGCCTATGTCAAGCTAAACATCGTTATCTTCATGCAAATGTTCACTACCACTTCCCAACTCTTTCCACACACTTTGTTCATCCAAACACCACACACACACAGTCACATCAGTCAACTGGTCAAGGACTTTAATACCGATTGATGACAAACCTAATCACAGAAGACAATTGATACTTTGTGGGGGTGTAGATTTTCCTACACATCGTTTGTAAATACAATGATGAGATTATTTGTCACATAGGGGTGGGAACTGGCTAGAGTAGGCCCTTGTGTATGAAATAAAGAACATTACGTTTATTTTTGATTTGAACATTCTGGATGAAAACCTTAAATTACTGACGACCCTCATACATGACTTACATGGTGTGGCGAAGGAGTAGACCCTGAGATCAGGGTAGGTTGGTCTGTACAGCAACCCTAGCAACACAGCAGCTGCAGCTCCCAGACTGTGACCTGCAACGTGACAGTTCAGTCGCTTCAACTCAGCTATCACATGATCTAACTAATTAAAGGTTTTTATTTTAAAATTTACAATCATTTTGAAAATCTAGTTTTGGATTAGTACACAAAGGTCAGATAAAGGAAATCCATTAGTATGCATAATAGGATAATTTTTCAGAGAACAAACAAAGAATATGAACTATTTATTAAAACTGTATGAATTTTTCTACTCAAAAATCTTCATTAAAGTATACACAAATAATATTTTTATAGTATTGCAGTGCTGTGAAATGATGGGGGGATTGCCCAGGCATACGCTGATGGATGGGAGAAAGGGAAGAAGCAAAAAGGTCTGAGGTAAGGGGGCGCCTATGAGCGCCCTTATACAAACTTATACAGGGTGAGTCAGTGAAACGGGCGATTTTCTGAGAGCGTAGGTGAGTGGCAGGGAAGGGGGAGGGGGTCGGGTCGGTGACCCTGCGTTCCCCACCACTGGAAGTTTAGTTGCCATGCAGCGTTGGACCGGACCACAGCGCGGTTTTGCCGTCAAGGCATTTTATCAAAACAGTGGGAGTTTTGTGCGCACACAGCGGGCCTTCCGCATTCATTTCGGTCTGCCCCCTCGTGCTCCTGTTCCATCAAGACATGCGATTCAAGGCTGGATAAAGAACTTGGAAGAAACGGGACAAACCACGAAAAGAAGGGGCGGAAGTACCAGAACTGCACGGACCCCAGAAAACATCGAAGCAGTCAGAGAAGCGATTGGCAGAAGTCCCTGTCGATCTGCGCGACGTCATAGCATGGCACTTGGACTTTCTGCGCCAACGGTGAGACAAATTTTACATAAAGACCTCAACATGCATCCTTACAAAATTCAGGTTGTGCAAGCATTAAATCAGCGTGATTTTCAGTCTCGCATTACGTTTTGTGAGAATATGCTTGAGCTTATGGAAGATAACCCTGACCTAATTCACAACCTGTGGATGAGTGATGAAGCTCATTTCCACTTATCAGGATATGTAAATAAGCAAAATTTTAGGTATTGGTCGGCCAGGATGTAACGCTCGGTTCCTGGCCACCCGACAGATTTAGGCTGATCACCTAAACATTGATTATTTGTTTGATGGGTGCGCGCCCCGACAAACCTGTCCACTACCAGAGGGCTTGAGCGCACACAAGCGTTGCCTGCCAAGGAGTGAGAAAACAAAAAAAAAACAAGCTTCAATCCAAATCGTAGTGGAATGGACTAGAAGATGAGTCATCGGAAAAATTACTTAATTTGGAGAATGATTAGGCCTTTTTGGTGTGAAGTCCTGAAGAAACAAGACGTTGCCCACGATGACCCTCTTTTACTTCTACTCCGTTGGAGGATTCTATTAGGAAGTGTTTTAATACGAAGAGGTAAGGCAGACAAAAATTTCCTTATATTTATCAATTGTATTCATATTAATTTGTGTTTGATGTTTCTGGTGAATTAAAGTAAAGTTTTAAAACGTAAAATTTTGTTGGACAAATTCAGCTAGGCCTAGGCTAGGCTCCTGACCATTCATGCATGGAAGCTAGGAAATCGACGAAAAATGTGAATGTACTGTTTAGTTACTTCCAGGTTGTTAAAGTATTTTGTTTTCTATCCAAATTTAAATCTTAGAATGGGTGAATTAATTATTTTGTGTAACTTTGAAAATGTTTGATGTAACTCAAAACGTGGTCTTTAGTAATGCTCAGGAATGAACTGGAAAAACTGTTACAACAGGTTATGGTTAATTAATCTAGTTCCAATTGCCTAGTAATCACAGTTAGGTTTGTCTTAAATTAAATTTGTTAGTTATTATTTATCATTTAATGTGTCAGCCTCTCCATTTAACGTGTATTGTCATTCTTCTATCCTTAAAATAATTTATGTAAATGTTGTATCATGTCATTTTAGCCATATATTTTCCGAACCGATTTTATTAATACGCTTTGTGTCTCAATTGGAATTTGCCAATTAAATAGGGCCTAGTTGCAATCCACTCTCGAAGTTAACTAACAAATGTGTTTTTCTTTCATGAGGTTAAACTATGGTAGGCCTAGTGCTCAGTCAGTGAAATTATTTCATTTATGTCATTTGACTTTCATTCACTCATCATTCATTAAAACTGTAAGTTAGGTTAAATCTTTTTGAAATCACTTATTTAATTGTAGCCTATTTGTATTTCAGGGTAAATTTTATTACAGTGTATTCACTTGCCATGTTCTATATTTTCATGTTTAGTCTGTAACACTTACCAACAGCCAGATATTTTATGTGGGTTAGGTTAGGTTAGGCCATGTGAACCAAGAGTAGGCCTAGGTTAGGTTAGTATTTGTTTCTGATTATATATAGTTCATTCATACCTTTTGTGGTCAGAGCTTCTCATGGTTTTAATTAATATTGTTTGTAATATCTTTTGACTTATAGCCTACTACTGTTATTTTGCCAGTTAGCCTATTTCCAGACCAAGATTTCTTTTCTACGCTTGATTGATATGAATTTATATTGTGGTATTCAGACCTTAAAAACAAATTAGAGCAATTCAAACTTTTAACAATTTGCCTTTTGAAACATTCCTGTTTAACTGTCTTTATTAATTATCATGTTTACTCTCTATTTTATGTACCATACTATTCATTAAGTACTTTGTAGGGTCTACCCACGGATCTGAACTGTTGAGGGCGAGCCCAGACTACCCAACCTTGGAGAGCTTTGAGGCACCTACCTTGTCGCTGCCCACGTCAACTACCTTATTGGACATAGACTGGGACGTTGGTGTGAGATACCGTAGACTGGAAGGCGGGCAACGGATAGATAAGTCAGAAATCACTTCTTTTAGTTGTATGGCCATACTAGGGACCAATTATTAACGCTTCACAGACTCTTACTTGAGACAACATTTGCGGATCTCCATACTGGTTGTGTACTTTCACCCTGGTCTTTGTGGACTTAGTGTGCCTTGGCATAGTGATGTGATACTATAAACTGAACCGATTAAGTTTAGCCCTTTCCACACGGACACTACCGCGTCTGGACTTCTCGTCTTGGACTGGTACATCGCCACCGAGAAAGCATTATTGTATTTAGGCTTAAGTTTTTTTTAGTTATAAGTTGTCTCAGTGCTTCATTACTCGTTGTGTATGTTTCATGTTCTGTAAATTGTCTATTGTTATTTTCAGGATGGTGGCCACCAAATCCAAACCAAATTAGATTTAGACCATTTATTATTTAGGTTAAGAGGGTTACATTGCTGAATTATTATTGTTGTTTTTCATATGTGTGTTGAGGTTAAATATTACTATTGATTCATTTCATTGCGGAAAGTTGGCCTAAGTAGTATGGTAATTTAAAACTTGAGTTCAAGTTTAAATTTTTGAACTAGCCTACATTTTGGTTTTGCCTATACATTTCTATTTTATCTTTGGCCTATTTTGGAAGATATATTTCGTAATAAACTTATTATTATTCCGCAAATACTCTTTGATTTTATTAGCCTGTGAAACTCGTTAGGCTAGTTGAGTTAAGATTGAGGTAATTCTGTTTTTACCTGGTTTCAACACAAGCCAGTTCCTTAGAGTACTGAAGTTGATGATGGTTCATTGCTTTTAGTGTATAAGTGAATTAATTAAAGGTAGGCCTATAGAACTTGGTGTAGTCCATGCACGAACGGTCACTTTTTCCGATTCAGTCAATTCTTTGTCTTTCGTCAATTCTTGTCTGCCTAACTAGTAGGGGGTAGTTACCATTGAGAAGAGACAAGTTCCCCGTTTGTGTCTCCTGCAGTTCTCTCCCAGCGAACGGGGTGGCGCCCTTAAAACAAGAAAAATCCAGAAGTAACGCCGAGGTGTACCCCACTAGAGACCATCCAGGCGACAGTTGAAGGGAATTAGATTGTGATAGGCTGACCCCTTGTATTACCAAACCCACCCTTCTCTACTGAGTGTGAGCCGGGACATTACAAATGGCGCTCAACGTGGATAGAAATAATTTTTGAAATTTTGCTGTACCGTACCTATTTTGATATTGAAGGAAGTTGTTATTGATGAATGTTGATGTTGTGTCTATTGACACTTAGAGGTATTTTTAATAGATTTTGGATTATATCTGTTGAATAAATAAGATATTTTTCTGTTGGTTGAAGCATAGAATTTGCACTCAAAATGACAGCTAATCACCTTAGGAAGGACGAAGTAGCCTATGAATTGATGATAAGGGGTGTTGACCATGTAGGTACTGCAGATGACCTTAGAACACGACTCAACCGATGTTTCTCAACTAATGTTCCGGTAAGGGACTCTTTAGTCAACCAGTTGAACACTGAGTCAGAATTGGAGAAATGCGCTGAAAAACTGGAGGATATAGGTTTATTAGTAGATTCGTATGATGGCAATGGAAAGGATCATGAATACCAGCGGGTGACAGCAAGGTTGCAGCATTTGTATGCACGGATTGAGAGGATTCCTGTCGGAGCTTCAGCAGACGACGCAGAGCAGGGTCAGTCAACATTGTTAGAGAAAGCAAAGGTTATGGTAGAGTTGTTTAAGGCGAAGAAATCATCTGGGGAGAAAGTACCACCTGAAGCTGTGTCCGATCCCAAATTAAATTTGTCTGAGAAGTCTGATGGGGAAGTAGGTGATGAATGTTTGGGCCAGGACGATAAGTCAAACAAAGTTGAGGATGCAAAGGACCTTATAAAACCTGAGCAGTCTGTCAAGGCAATCACGACTGAACCTTCGCTACAGGTAACGCCACTGTTGAATTCAAGGAAGGAGGGAATGCTACCTTCGGATTCTCAACATAGTAAAGAAACTTCTTATCCAAGCATAACATACCATAAGACCAATTTTATTCCAGTGCATAAATGGGGTATTAGATTTAACAATGAAACAAAGCAAAGTGTGGGATCATTCCTGGAACGAGTAGAGGAGTTAAGAAGAGCTCGTGGTGTCAGCGAACAAGATTTATTTGAATCTGCGGTTGATTTGTTTGAGGGATCTGC